GATCACGGGAGACGGGATCCCGAAAGAGAGAGGGAGCGGCGGGGAAACCGAGGTAAGCTGGCCTCACGTTATAGCATTTTGCACCCAGATATATATTTATATTTATTTTGCCTCCTGGGGGCTGGCTTGGCTGGGGATGATGGGCATGGCAGTCCAGAGGGCAGCTGGCTGGCTCGGGAAATCTGAGGTGAGAAACGCTCCTTTCGGCCGGCGCAGAATGGGCTGGGTTTTCCTTTTCCTTTCTTACATCTTTCTTTGGCCTTTCTCCTCGAGCCGGACGCAGAATGAGCCGTCCCCACACAACAGCCCGACGAGGTAGGCTGAGCGAGGAGACGGGGAGACTGGCCCAGCCAAGCCAACTCGCCCGTTCCCAGCTCGATCCCTTTGCAGCCGAGGTGGCTTAGCAAACGGGAAAATAAAAATAATTTTTATTTTTTGTATGCATAACTCCTCCTTTTCCAAAAAATAATCACAGTTGCTGCTCTGCTTGGCCATCCTTGCGTTGCACCCTCTTGTTTTCTGTCTTTATTTTAGCTGAGATTATTCCAGGGTAGCAAAAAGAGGGGGGTGAAGGGGTTGGACCAGGAGCGAAGAGATCTGATTCAATCTATCCTTGGCCCTGGCTGGTTCCTGGGTGAATTTGGGCTGGTCATTCTCTCTGAACCCAGCCTACCTCACAGGGTTGTGGTTCTGGGGATAAACTAAAGGGAGATTCCCATAAAATGCAACTGGAATCCAGGAGGACAGGTGGCGTACCACTCAAAAAATAAATAAATAGCTGGTATCGCTAATCCGGCTGAAATCTCCAGAGATTGCACTCAGCATCTGTTGCTAATGGTATGTGCATCAAATGTGCCCCCGCGCACGCTCCAAAGATCCGTCCACTTCCTTAAAAAGGAGGAAAGGCGGAAGGCGTGCAGAAATCACATGAGGAAGGAGGAACAGCTTTTGCTGTGTCCTGTGACAGCAAACAGAGACAGTTGCGAACAGAAAAGCACGCAGAAGTGAATTGAAAATGTAGGACAATCTGTGATTCTAGATACCAACCCCGAATGGCTTTGCTAGCACAACTCAGAGGGATGTTGATTTAGTTCAGAGGCCTGCAGTTTTTTCCTGGGCTGAAGTGTGTCCTCTGCTTTTGTGCACAAGATCCAGGGACCCAGGAAAAAAAACTAGATTTGATTTAATTTTTGCATATCCGTAAAATTCATTAAAAGTAAATATTAGTGAACCTGATTACTCTGTGGCAGTGTTTCTCAACCTCAGCCACCTGAAGAGGTGCGGACTTCAACTTCCAGAATTCCCCAGGTCGTTCCCACTTAGCAACTGCCTCGTTATGCGACCATTCTCAGTTACAACGGTGACGAAAAAGTAACTCTGCAACCAGTCCTTGCATTTACAACCTTCGCAGGCCTGTAAAGCAAAGGAAAGCTGAAGTAAGTACATAAGCAGTCGCAGTTTCATTTAGCTGCTTTGCTTAACGACCAAGTTGCCGATCCCTATTCTGGTCGCTAAACAAGGACTACCTGTATCATTACTATTTAGGTTTATTATAGCCCCCAACTTTACAAGGCTAATGAGAGGCCTATCTAAATTTATTGAGGCAGGTGTAATAAATAATTTTTTTCTGGAGCTTTGGGGCCACACCCAAGGTTTTCAGGGGACTCACATTCTTTGCATTTCTGATATTGTTTGGATCTGCTTCTCTTTCTATCTTAACTTTCTTTCTCCACCTATTTATCTTTCCCCGCTCTCCCTTATCCACTGTTTCTCTTCCCCCCCCCTTCTTCTCGTATCTTTTCTCTCCCTCTGAATTTGCTGAGAGTTTGTTTTTCCTTATCTGCAAGGTGAGCTTGGCCAGGACTTAAAGTTCTTAAGACGTATCTCCAGGGCCACCTTTGGAGGAGGGCAAAGTCCCGCCGTCACTCTGTCTCGGTTGGCGAGGACAGCTCAGCTCTGTGCACTGGCTTGGCAGACAGAAGGCTCTGGATTCAGTCTTTTAAACTTTCAGCCAGCAAAGATCACCATGCAGAGAATCCAGACAGCTGCCTTGCCTAAGGAAAACTTCTACCGGTGCTAGGAATCTGATCCCCTGAGATCCGAGAACAGTACGTATTCAGTACTGAACGGATTCCTCTTCAGGTGCCCAGTCTGGACAGTTCATCGACCCATGAACTTCAATCCAACGAATGACCCCTTTGCGGCGTTTGCCAATTTTCCATCCCTATTTTTCCTCGAAGTAATCCCACCCGAGTGGTCTTTCCAAGACGTTCCGAAAAGGGATCCTCTCCAGCCCGCCTTGATTTTGAAATCTGGATGCAGCCTGGGATCCCTGGGATCTTTGGGTGCAAGGGGTCTGCGTGCTCCATCGATGATGGTCTTTCCCCGTTAATTTTATTTATTGCAGCCAGTAGAAACAAATGCCGTTGATAAATATAGACGCTCTGTCGCCTGCCATTGAATTCTCCGCAGTTAATGCTCAAGAAATGTTATATAGCAACAGTAAATAGCAATTCCCCCTTACAGTATTAAAATAACGGAGCGATAAACATTAAGCAAGGAAAAGCGCAATCATTAAAAAATGACCGTTAAGCAGCAAATTTCTTCCCCTGTATGAATTACGTGCTCGATTTCTGTGCTAAGCCAAAAGACATAACTGCATTAATATATGCAAAGGAGTCTATATCTATATTGAATATCAATGTGCTTTACAGAAAAATGGAAAAGCAGAACTTTAAATACTTTTTCCATCCACAAAATGACATTGAAGTTCTATAACAATCTATTAAGTATTCACTAAGCGGGATGAAGTTGATCCTTCTTGGGGACAAAAACACATTGTCACTAACATATCAATAAGGCACTTTTAAAAATGTTAAACTGCCAGGCAAAATAAAGTTATTTTGGATAATTACAAAGAGAAAATGAGAAGTATACAAACAGAGCCTTTTATATAAACATCCCAACAAAGAAACATTTAAAAGGAAAAAACAGTTTACAAACTAGGGTTTATGCTGTAGTGTGATGTGCCAACTCAGCCAGTTGTGGCTAATCCAAGTAACTCTGATTAATCAAACCATGGCTTGGAGTGATGTGCAAATGGGCTCACTGACTTGAGAGCATCTCCCTTTGCAATCTCCGATGTGAATGGAAAGTATTCCTAGTTTCCTCCAGCTAAAGAGGCCAGTCTTTAAATCTTTCGGTCCCACCTACAATTTTCTGTTTCTCATAAGGCTGGTGCGTTCTAACCCCCAGAGCTTTCTCAGACGAAGAACGGAGAGGTTTCACAGCTGTTCTGATTTTTTTTCTTTGCTTTGGATTCTGAGAACCGGTCACATATTTTGGCTGGCTGGAAAGTTCTCGGAGGCTCTTTTTTTCTGGCCAGAATCCCACGCTCAGGATGGCTGGTGGGAGATGATCCCCGCAGGGGCGTCCAGGGAACACGGCCTGCAAATGTGAAATTTACCCCGTAGAAGGAGGAAGAGATGTTGCCAGTTCGTGCATTTCGTGCCGGTTTCCACTCCTCGGCCTGAGTCGTGCAGCACGGCAAGCCGTGGGGCATTTTGGTGGAATCAGCTTTGTGGGTTGCCTGAATCGCTTGCGGCTAAATCCAAACTAAGGTTAATTAAGCCACGACGGAGTGTGCAGTTTTTCCCATTCCCTGGCAGAGGGACCCCAAATTCAGCCTGTGTAAATTCTGCACTAAAGGGGTCTCGTGTTCCCAAAACAAGCATCTTTTCTGTGCCTTAAGAGCAGTGTTTCTCAAGCTTGGAAAGTTTAAGACGTCTGGACTTCAACTCCCAGAATTCCCCATGCTGGCTGGGGAATTCTGGGAGTTGAAGTCC